GGTTTTGGGCTCAGGACGAAAAGAGCCCCAAAAGGGTTTAGGGTTTATATACCATATCTAGGGACTCATAGTATGAGGACATAGGGCCCCGTACTATTCTGTAACTTTTAAGGGGTCATTTAGTCCTGAAGGTAGACCCTAAACCCAGCCTTAAACTCCAAAACCCTAAACCCTCAAAACCCTAAACCCTGAACCCTAAACACCAACCTTAAACTCTAAACCCTAAACCCTAAACCCTAAACTCTAAACCCTAAACCCTCAAAACTAGAGGCCATTTAGTCCTGAAGGCCCTAAACCCTAAACCCGTAACCCCTAAACCCCTAAACCCTAAACCCTAAACCCCTAAACCCCAAACCCTGGGTTCAGGGGCTCAGGGTCCCTTGAGCCTCCCCCAAGGTGCCCTGAGCTTTTCCGGCACCGAACCACAGGGTTTAGGGTTTAGGGTTTAGGGCTTATAGGGTTTATAGGGTTTATAGGGCTTATAGTCCTCGGCTCTGAGTGCTTTGGCTGGGTTTAGGGTTTAGGGTTTTAGCGTCTGGTTTTTGGCTTTAGGGTTTAAGTTGTTAGGGGAATCGTGCTGGGCGAGGGAGGATGTAGCTGGCGACTTGGGTGTAGTATCGTTAGCCGTCAACATTCACGCCCTAGCCTAGCTCCCCCGAACCCCAAACATGCCCCCAAGCCGCCAGCCCCTTTAGTTCTCCAAAACCCAACCTTTCAACTTTTTGGGCTCTTATATAATTTAGTAGAAATCTGAAGGTTTAACTTTTTATTTCCCTGGCTTTTGATTGGGGAGGTAAGTTAAGTCCCTGTAAAGTTTCTGAGCCCCGCGAACAGCCTCACCCCCGGAAGCCTTCAGCGTAGTTCCCGAGAAAGGTTAAAGGGGGTTTTTAGGGGGTGTAGGGTTTCCTCTCAATTAGGAAGAGACGTTATGTGATAGGGCCTGAATATTCTTTGTTCAAGGTATATTCCTGAATTCAACAGACCTTTGCAACCTAAACCCTAAACCGTACCCTAAACCCTAAACCCTAAACAGTACCCTAAACCCTAAACCCTAAACCCCTACACCCTAAGCCTCAGAAGCGTTTTGGAGGCTTTTAGGGCTTAGGCCGGGCTGAGGATCTGGCCTCCCGATATTTTAGGGGGCCGCATCGTCGCGATTAGGGTTGAGGGCTTAGGGTTGAGGCTTTTGGGGTGTAGCGATAGGTTTGTGGGGTTCTGGGTTTTCGGTTTAAGTTTGCGGGCTTAGGAGTTATAGGGGCTGGGACTAATAATCACATGCACACCACTACAAACCAGCGACCCTGCGCCATCTATGGGCGATGTCGGATGACGAGTTCATCAACTACCCAAAGGTGTGTTTCGCCGGTTTCTTAACGTTTGCCCAGCGTGAAAAATCCAACACATTCCTACCCATAGGCCCCTAAGTAGTTCCTTTTGGGGAATATGCTCAGAATCCTATAAGGTAATCTCAAAAATGAACTACTTAGGGGCCTATGGGTAGACAGGACTTTTGCAGCACGAGCACGATGAGGATGCCGTATGCCCAACTGGGCTCGGCAGCAGCCTCAGCGCGAAGTCCAAGGGACTAAAGGAGAGACCTTAAAGGGAGCCTTGGGTTTATATAGGGGCTTTATGAGACTATATAAGGGGTATATGGCTTATATTAAGGTATTAGGATTAGGGGTCCCTTCTAGGGTCCCTCCTATTGCCCCTTAGGAAGTGCCGAAAGCTTGTTGAGCAACTGCTAGGCTAAACCCTAAACCCTAAATACCCTAAACCCCTAAACCCTAAAACCCTAAGCCCTAAACCCTAAACCCCTAAACCCTAAACCTCAAAGCCTAAACTGCTAGGCTTCTTGGTAGGATACCTTCGGAATTTGTTGGGTGGGTTGTGTAGGGTTTTCTGCTGAACGTCAGGGGCTCTGATCTGCTTGCACTTGGATCGGAAAAGCCTAAGCCATTAAAGAACTCCTAGTAACTCTCTCTCTCTCTATATATATATATAAATTATTAGTATATAAATATATATATATATACACACACATATATTTATTTATTTATTTATTTGTTTTATTTATTTGTTTATGAGCCACGTTAAGGGACTTATAACTCCACTTATATCTACCCATGAACCTGCAAGTACGCCCTGCTTTGAATTATCCTTTCACCACGTGGTCGTTTGGGCATGGCTGTCGGTACTGTTACGATTGCAGGGCTTGGCTTGCTCCTCTCCCCCCTTCCCCGCTGGCCCCCGTCGATCCCAAAGCCTTACCTAAAAACTCTAAACGCTAAATCCTAAACCCTCAGATGCGGGGCTGCAGCCCCAAACGCTAAACTTCCTATAGGCCCTAGACCCCCAAGCCGTAGCCTGCAAACCGTAACCTGGGTTCATATACCATATAGGGATTCATAGTATGAGGGTGTAGGGCACCTACTTTTAAGGGTCATATTGTCCTTAAGGAACCATCAAACACGACATCCTCAGGCCTAAACTCTCAATCCCGACAGGCGTGTCTCAAGCACCAGTTTAGGGTTTAGGGGCGTCTAGGGCTTAAGGTTTACCTACAGCAGCCGGAACCCAATATAAAGCAGGTCGCCAAAGCAAAGCCCGGGTTTCAGAGGAAGTTGTCTCGGAACCGCGTTCTTATTCCAAGAACCTGGTTTTTCTTAAGAACCTACATTCTTACTCACATATCCAGGCTGTGTATGCTTATGAGGGGTTTCGATAGGCAAACTTGAGGATTCGGTAAGTTTGAGAGGGGCTTCGATGGTGTTTATGTAGGGTTTCGGGTGGCAAATTCAGAGGATTGGGTGAGGTTGCTCGGGGATCAAAGATGCAGTGACCTGAGCTGTGCCAGAGAGTTGGCTCTCTTTTCCTCGCGAGCAGCCCTGATCCTGATCGAAGGGATGCGAGTGCCGGAGCCCAAGGCACCTGCAAAGATTCGCATTTGTTGGCGGCTCACTTTCATTTGCATATCCCGTCAGCTATCTAGGCTTTGCGGGTGGTATAGATTTCGCGTAGCTTCGAGCATGGCTGTGCGGTTTTCGGTGGAAGGCCTAGAGGCCGAATGGGAGTCTTTGGAGAACGTGCGCGGGAGATTGCGTTCGGAAGGTGGCCGACTCCTGTTTTCGAACGAGGATGGCAGTTACGATCCAAACAACCGCCTGGCCATCCAAAACCAAGAAGTCCTTGCCCCAATGCTGGTTCGAATGACCCTGTGCAACCTCAAGATCCCAGACATTGAGCCCTTGCGCAGCACACTGCAACAGGTTTATCAACTGGTCGGCCAGGAACCTTCGGAGAGCGAAATCGATGACGAAGCGTGGGCTCTTCGACACCTGGTGGGTCATGTGAAGCGCAAGACCCAGAAACAGTTGGTTTCTTTAGCCGCTCGTTGTCAATTGATTACAGGAGATCTAAAGAGTTTCATATATCCAGATCCCAAACACCTTTGGATGTAGCTTCTATCCCTAGGAGCCGGATTTCCAAGACATGTGCCTCATTTTGAACCCTGGCCTTGAGGACTGCTTGCATCTTGAATACTTTGCCTTTGGGCACTTGCACAATCGTCTCTGCCGCATTATGTAATTAGTGGGGCCAGAACCTCCTGTCATTTGCTTGCAGGATTTGGTGCAAGAAATCCGAGACCGTGCGATTCCTGACCTGGACCCTGATGCAGGGGAGGCGTTTGAGGCGCTACATGTAATATAGAAACTGTAAGTGATCTTGCGGTTCCATAATTCTGTCAGGCCTACAATTATAACCCTCCCTCCATCTCCCTCTCTATCTATGTTTAGTTATCTGGTATCTTTCTGTTTTTCTCGATCACATAGACGGGACTTCCAGAGTTTGTTATCGACACATGTTATAGCATTCGGCCCGACATGTGTAGCAGGCCATCCTTGACGACAGCCAGCCGCCGGATGAGACTGCAGTGGTTCCTGAAGCCCCCGCTACCGAGCCAGAACATGCCAGGCCCGAAGCCGAGCCAGCAGAGGTTCCGGAAGCTCCCAGGCCCGTGCCCGCACGTGCTCCCCAAACAGCTCCCGCCGAGCCAATTCATCGAGTTCCGGTGGCGGCTCCCGCAGCCCCCACACCCGAGTCAACAACTGTTCCGGTAGCAGCTCCCACACCA